TCTCTCTCTCTCTCTCTCTCTCTCTCTCTCTCTCTCTCTCTCTCTCTCGGCGTGCAGTTGCTTGAACCTCGGCTTTGTGTGGTCTGCAGCTCTAGAATGCCGACGCGTCATAAGTGAGTAAGAACACTATGATCTGTGATCGTGCGGCGAAAATTTCTTTCTACTATATGATCGCTCTCCCTCCCTTTGCTCTTCCCGCTTTTCTGAGCTTTTCAAATTTCCTTCCTCGACGTATGGTTATCTAAGTTCGACTTCGGGTCATCTTCGGTCAGCTGCGCTACTCTTCTCAAGACGTTCTGCATTTCAATTTGAACGGAAAGTATTCTGATCCGCTCTTCCCACTATGAGCTCGTTGTCGGGCCTTATGCTCTGTCCAACTGTTTCCAATTGTATGTCTGACAAAGACGGTTGTTCGGGCATGTATGGATATGCCTTTTCTTCTTATTTTCTTATTATTATCTCTCTCCTTGGTTCTATTTCCCAGTTTCTCGAGTCTCGGTGTCGACGATGGGTGCGGGTGAGCTATGTGAGTTTTCAGAATTGACCTATGTGGCGAGAAGGTGTTTCGTAACGCAGCTTAGGAAGAGTATTTAACAGGGAACTTCCTATGCCATGGTACACGTTTTTTCGTCCCCTGACGAGATCGTCACTGGCGGGCGGTCGAAATGATCGTAGGGACACCGCCAGCACGACATTGTTCTCATGTTATATTTTAAGTGCCTGATTTTTTGCGCGTACTTGTGTCCATGACTCTCTATGTCTTCCTTTCGTCTGCGTCACTATCCTGCTTCCATTTCAAGTCATCATTCTCATGTTTAATCCTCTCCCTCTCAATATCTTGTTTTCGTTGTAAGTTCATCTCATGCATGATTATCTTTCTCTCATAATTGTGCCATCACGGCCTGTATACGCAGTTTCTGCGTCACCCATCAGACTATTGGTAGCGATTGTAACCACCTCGTCATTCGTGGATTGGCGTAATCGTTGTGGGGTACTGGTATCATTCCTTTGGTTTGATCCCGTCTCAATATTACTTCGTTACTTTGGGATTATCGGCCGAAATTGTTTGTATCTCTCCACTTTTCAAAATTCTCCCTCTCAATATCTCTCCACCTTTAAATTCTCCCTTTCAATTCTCATACATGATTGTAACCACCTCATCATTCATGGATTGGTGTAATTGTTGTGGGGTACTGGTATCATTCCTTTGGATCGATCCCTTCCCCATATTACTTCACTTTGGGATTATCGGCCGAAATTGTTTGTATCTCTCCACCTTTCATCGTTCATGTGCTTGTCTTTGTTTTTCCTCGTATGGAATCTGTAATCTACTATTGCGCTTGCATTCTAACCTCCACCTGTGACTTTGTCGTTCTTGAATCCTGTCTTGTTGGATGTTTCGAGTGTTTTATCCGTGAGTTGGTTCTCCGTGTTCCGGGTCTACAAGAAAGCGGCGTGGTCGGCGTCTTTGTTTGCGGGGTGTTTCCTTCGCACTCTCGGGATGGCAGAAGGAGGTCCGTTTTAACCCTACGAACATGTATGCTACAACTATCGCCAACCCGGACATTTCGCTAGGAACTGTCCGTATCGACGGCGTGAAGCTCTGATATCGGGCACTCCGATTGGTGGATATGGAGCGAGACTTCCTCCATATCCCACGCAGCACACGGCTTATGCCTCCTCTGGAGCTTCGCAGTCGGCATATGCGCCATCTGCACCACCAATGAGTCAGGCTCCGGTGCTTCAACAACACGCTCGTTCGTCATCCGCATTGGCATCCGTATCGATCTCTTTCACCGTGGTACCTTACAGGCCATCGCCGGCTCCAACGCCACCTTCTTTGCCTGCTGTGGTGCCTTATGCTCCAAGGCAACGATCTAGCCATGGTGAGGTGGTGTCGCTGCTTAGAGAATTGGTTAACGACCGAAGAGAAGAGAAGGATCGAGGACGAGAAGTTGAGGATCGGCAGATCAGAGAGGAGCAAGCCCGTTTGGCTAAGGAAGAGGAGGGGAAACGTTTGGAGGAAGAGGAGATGCGTCAAGCTGAGAAAAAAGCCAGGATGGCCATGATGATCAACGCCTAGATGGAGGAACTAGACGAGCAGCACCAGGCGAGGACAGAAGAAGAAAACAAGAAGATATGGAAAGAGATCGAGAAGGTGGTGGGAGATCCGAAGTGCACCCACAAGGGAAAGGAGCAGGCGACAGATGAGTCAGAATCTCGGAAGAGGCAGCAGGCGGAAATGGAAGGCTCTCCACCGGTGGTTCCCGCTTATGGTCAAACTTGTTGCGAGAATCCTCTGATGACTGCCTTTCCGAATCTTAGCCCGCTAGACGCAGGGCTTCTTCTCATGGAATTAGATAACGTGAAGAGGTCGCAGGATACGCAAGTAAGTTTGGTCAAGAATTGTACGGAGGTTTTGCACAAGATCGAGATTAAGTTTGCTTCTGTGAACGCTGGGCTTGCCGCCGATCACAATGCACCTCCCGCCACGCGGCAACAGCAGGCGGGGCCAGGTCTGGCTTCGGCGGGCCCCTCTGTC